TTGTTTTTCATTAATATGCAGATCTTCTTCTAATGACCAAACCACTTAATTTCCTGGTAAAGAATATGCTAATGTAAACATTAACCACAAGCAACGGCATTATCCTAATCAGAAACTCCACTGCAGCTGCAGTTTTAGCGTCGTTCTGAAAGTCAGGATCAAACTGAAAACTCTGCAGTCATTGTTTCTGCAGACAAGGCTTAAGCAGAATGACAGAGAGGCTCACTGAGCATGAAGGCATATTTGTAAAGACATTTTTTTCATACGGTATTATAAGCTACACTCAAGGGCGGATTTAGGAAATATGGGGCCCTAGGCAAAGACAGACAGGGGCCATCTCAATTGGGAAAACAACACACAAAACAGACCCATTATACAGATACAGACATGTTAATAGAATAAAAAATTATTGTCCCTTTTCTTGTTGTTTTCCTCTCTATGTTTTGTACTCAGCTGACTTTTCATGCTGTCTCTAAAGGAATGAAAGATTTTTTCCAAGCACTAAGCTCACTTAGCTGATTGCTCCTTCCTGTGTTTCCAAAAAGGCAAAAGTAAATAACCCAGTCCTTCTTTTCACTGTAGACAAGCCATGATCTGCTTATCTGTTCTCCATTTTTCATTTGGATGAAATAATAGCTGCATGAATCATGACAGCAGACAAGATAGAGGAGAGCAGGAGGCGGGGTTACCAATCTACTCGCTCTGGAGAGCAGAGTTCGCTGCTTTTAGATGTTGTAAACAGAGTTTATGGGGCCCTCAGAAACTTGGGGCCCTGAGCAACTGCCTAGTATTTCCTAATGGTAAATCCCCCCTGTCCGTGCACATCCACTTATGATTTAATACATAATTTAGGACAGTAAGGATGTGCTTTTTAACACGTTTATAGATCGATCCAACTGCTGTTTGACTCTTCAGGATCTATTCGCTTCAGTTCTGCAGATGCATCCTATAGATAATTAAAGCAGATTCCGATTAATTATTCCAGGCAGTTATCCAGCTGGTGATGTAATTTAGTTTTCCTTTGATTCTGTAGCATATATAGTTGAGTAGAAGTTGTAAGATTTTCCTTGCAGACGATAAGTTGATCATTTTTGGCATGAGGAAAATAAAAAAGTCCAGAGGAAGCTGGATTTTACAGCATTATTGATTTGATTTATTTCTTCTGACATCCTACCAGAGTTTTAGGAAAATATTGCATATTGTTTTTGAATGATGTCAGGATGATCTGATCTCTGGTAAATAAAAAGAGGAAAATAAAAGTCTTGGCTAAGATTTAAAGAGAAACACCAGATACTGAATACTGTCACTAAATAATCGGAAAGGAAAAGATATTCAGAAATTCCATCAACAGGATTTTATACCAAAACAAACATCAGGCTATAGATGGAGACATTGGGGCTCTTTTTAAATCTGGCAGAGAAGCTCAGTATTTAAGGACTTAATAGTTGTTTTGGTTCAAGCTGCTTTTCTTAAGGTTGACATCACAGTGACACTGAAGGTGCAAACGCTCTGCAGATATATAAACGTACAGAAAATGCAAAAATGATGCAAACACCACTTGGATTTAAAGCAACTCAGAGTTTCAGCTCTCAGTTTTCTGTGAGTTTATTCCAGATTAGTGGAGCAGAAGAACTAAAGGGGTGATAGAATGCAAAACCAAGTTTCCATTGTCATGGATTAATAACGATAGTTCAGTGGGTGAAATGGACGTACAGAGAAGTTCAAACCCCATCAACACCTCCTTTTTCTGCAAATCTCACAATTCTAAACTTCCACTATAAAACAGGTGAATTCAAACGAAGCCCCAAATTGACGTAAACTCAGGGATGTTGCCTTATTTTGTTCTGGCCTGTACTTTTGTCACGCCCTGAAATTGACATACAGACCAGCCAACTGGTTCCCTGGTCCAAAGGAGGGGGGAGTATGGAGTGCCAACTGCTGGGCCGCTGACTGGAACAGACATCAGTAGAGAGCCATAAGCCGCCATCCTCAGCTGGTAGGAGGGGCTCTTGGGGCTGGTAAGGCAGGCGGGGTGAAGCACGAGGCCGCGGGTGCCAGGCTACCCTCACCTGGTCGGGTTTGGTCGCTCCGCTCGCTGCTAGCTCCCTGCCGGAGTTCCCGGACCAGCCACGGAGCTAACGGATCAGTTCGAGCGTCCGGAGTGTTTCGACTACATGCCTCACTGTAGTCGACCAAAATCCTGGACGATTTTGAAATTCCCCCCGGACATTTTCTTAGGTATGAAAAGTAGGACATGTCCGGGAAAAAGAGGACATCTGGTCACCCTACCATATCAACAATCTGATGTTTCAGTGAGTGAGTGATGCGTCTTTGCTCAGCAGCTTGACTGGTTGTAAACCACCCAATTGGCGCACAGTTCATTTAAATATTCATGTGCATAGCATAAAAGGAGTAGTTTTATTCTGGAGCTTTTAACCAGGTTTCCATTAGGGCTCATAGAACAGCAAATATGCCATTTTCAGCCCAACCAATGTTACACACCCTATTCAGAGACCTTAAGGACCAAATACCCTATAGAATCATTCTATCACCCTTTTAAAGCTGCATTTCCATGTTTAGTTCTGGTGTGTGTCGAAGTTAATGCAGTTATGCCCCCGACCTCTGCAGACACTCTGCTCCACCTCTCCATAATTGTAGCTGACCGCAGACAGGAGGCATCTGATTGGTCAAATCTACATCCACTTTACATTACACGTATTTCCTGTTTGGTACCTTACCAGCTTGTTTGGTTTGTATGAACGCCATTTTGGAAAACAAGTCGTGAATGTGGACCAGCTAGAAGAGCGAGGTGCAGAAGAACCGGACCCTGTTTTCCACCTGGATCCCCCCTCTTTTTCACCCTCATGTCCCTGTGTTGTCGCACAAACTTGCCCCCACTTCCTCACCTTCTCGGCCGTATCTAGACCCACAGCTAGTTCCTGATTATCTCTCTTGCGTTGTGGCGTCGAATAACATAGCGTAGACTATGCCTTAATACTGGGTAGAAATCAAAAATATCTGCAAAAAGCTCACTGTGACACACTGCTGTGCGAGGATAACCAGACCTTAAGCCTGTTTTCTGGCTTAAAGGGTCATAATCTTTATTGATTTGCATAAAACACACAGTTTAATACACAGTTGTGCTGTTTTAGTGGGAACAGTGGGAAGAAATTAAGAAATAATAAAGGAACACTCAGAGCCGAAGTCATCCATAACTAAGTCTTCATAAAGTCAGGGGGTAGGAAGTAGGAACTTTATAACACACACCCTTCACCAAGCATGAAGGACTGCATTAATACACGCACAGTCTGGCCTTCATTCACACACACAAACTCCCAGCACACACTTTTATGCTGTAGAAAATTTTTTCCTGACTCACATTGTCAAACGCACACGTTCCCTCGCTCATCCGACAGCGCTGTCTTGTCTCCCGCACACCTGCATGCTCACACATTTTTTTGTGCCCGTGGGGGTCAATAAATCTCCCCATTAGCATTGAGATGTTCTCCATCATAGTCACTGTTGTGGAGCTGCCGCTATGAATTCATTTCATGCCTGGCTTAATGCATATTTGACCTTGGTGAGCTTATCGTGTGTTTTCCAACACACTAGACGCCATAGGCTGGTCTGCTCTGCAGACCAGCATGTCTTCATTTAGGAAAAGGAACTTTTGCCTTTGTTTTCAGTGGATTCCTAAACCTTGTAGGTTTAGCCTGCTGCAGATGAAGGATATTTTATTGTCATGATGTTCACACCGAATATGATTCCTGTGACAGAAGCGATCAGTTTATCCCTGTAGGCGCACAACGATGCTCACGTAGCTGATTGCTCCTTCCTGTGTTTCCAAAAAGCGACGGCAAAAGTAAATAACCCAGTCCTTCTTTTCTCTGTAGACAAGCCATGATCTGCTTATCTGTTCTCCATTTTTCATTTAGATGAAATAATAGCTGCATGAATCATGACAGCAGACAAGATAGAGGAGAGCAGGAGGCGGGGTTACCAATCTACTTGCTCTGGAGAGCAGAGTTTGCTGCTTTTACATGTTGTCGACAATATCGCCAGTAGCAGAAAAAAGTTGCTAGATTTGGCGTTAGGTGACTTTTTGAAATCCAGAGAGAACCCACACATGCTCAGGGAGAACTTGCAAACTCCATACAGAAATACCCCGGGCCGGGAATCGAACCCGGAACCTTCTTGCTGCAAGGAAGTAGCGCAACCCAATTTTTTTCATTTAATGACTTTCATCTGATACAACTTTAATCTTGTAATTTGCAATTTTATCCTCATAATGTTATGACATTACTTTGATAACCTTAACCCATTATGATTTCATTCTGGTAGTATTACAATTTTATTTTTGTAATCGTATGACTGTATTCTGCTGCGCCTAATCTGGTAACATTGCAATTTTAATCTTATAAAATTACGACTTTATTCGTTTTTTCCAGCTTTTTTTTTTAATTGTCATCACACTATCGCAAGTACAGAACAATGAAATGAACTGCATTCAACCCATCCCCTTGGGAAGCAGTGGGGTGCCATTGTGCGGCGCCCGGGGAGCAGTGCAGGGACCCAGAGTGACAGTCCATGGGGGTGTGGCTTTGAACTCAGGATTTCACGCCCTAACCACTAGGCCGCTACTCCCCTTAGTGTTATGTTTTTATTCTCTTTACTTTGTTCAGATGGGCTAATCTTGAGACATTTTTTATATTTATAGAATTTATAGTTGAAAAAAACTGGAATCAATATTTCCTCAGTGGGGTTTATATTCTCTGCTCTGAGGGTTTCCTAAATGTTTTCTTTATTTGTTCTTGTTCACTGTATTATTTAATCTGCTCATTCTTTAATAAAGATGAACTGAACATTTGTCTGACTCTTATCAGCTGTCACTTCATGCTCTAACTATAATATCCTGTGTATTTGCAGTACATGCTTTATGTGTTTTAAAATGTAATAATGTGGATGATCTCCTTTTCTGCTTCTATTTGATTTTCCAACAGATGGTAGCCAGCCGTCTCTCGCCCAGCCATCCCTGACAATGCCGAGTTTTCCTTACGGAGGCTGTGAGTCGGTGGAGCTCTCCTACCAGAGCGGTGCGTTCACATACACTCTGATAAAACAATTCAATTCAGTTTATTTCTATAGCGCCAATTCACAACACATGTCATCTCAAGGCACTTTACAGTTCACCAGATCATCCAGTCAAACTGATTCAAAGTTTTCTATCTAAGGAAAACCAGTTGATTGCATTGACTCAAAGACAATCCCCCACACTAAGCATGCTTGTAGCGACAGTGGGGATGAAAAACACCATTTTAACAGGAAGAAACCTCCAGCAGAACCAGGCTCATTGTGAGCGGCCATCTGCTGAGGCCGACTGGGGTTTAAGGAGACAGAAGGAGAGATACAAAAGGCAGCTGTAAAAGGCGGCCCTGTCCAGGAAACACACAGCCAGGCAGAGGAGCTTTGAGCCAGCTCCCATGTCAGAGGATAAGGAGAGCACATCCAGTCATTCACAGTCAGAGAAACGGGGCTACACTGAAAAACAGGCCCACTCCAATATCTATAAAACAAAACCTTCTTTCCTCCTTCAGATTACACGTTTTCTAAATCTAAACTATATCAGAAACCTACATTAATTTGAATTTGGCATGTTGGACCTCTTCATCGCATGCAAATGGAGTTTTTGAGAGAAAAATAAGTTTTAAAAAGCATCTTTAGTTTATCTAGAAAGTCTGCTACCAAACAGCAATCTGGTTGCATGTCAGAAAACATTGGGATGACCGATTTGTTTGGCTTGATGAGGTATTTTCATCTTTTTAAAGGGTTTTAACTCTTTACTCTCCACAAAAAGAGGTTGTATAAACCTTGCTGGGTTAGAATGTGAAACACTTTCAGAAGTGCTAATAAACATTTCAATAACAGGCAACTCTCTAAATGTTAGTCAGGCACTGTACAGCAGTCACAGCGACATTTTACAGTCAATGTTAGAGGTTCACACCACATTGTTTAGGCATTTCTTCTTCCTCTCTGTATAATATGTGGAGCCCAAAGGGAGGTAGAAACTGAAAATGTATTAGTAATTGTTCTTTCCCTTATGTTTTACTTTTCCTCCATTGATATCCTTGAGCTGCTCTTACTGGAGCAGTTTGGTTCATTTATTCCCTAAAGGTAACGAGCTGTTCTCAGATCAGGTGAAAATGCAATATTCAGCACTCATTTCTGGATGTTCTTTATCTTTTTCTGACATTTATACATGACCTATTTTAACGACTGGTTTTCTTAATGTGCAAAAAAATTATTTGGAAAATTATTTTTTCTCCCCTAATTTGCTATATTACCACAACATTATCTATCTGTACTTTTACATGTTTTAGACTTTGAAATACTAGCTCATGCATCCCCAAATCGGTCCTGGAGGGCCGCTGTGCTGCAGGTTTTACAGAGTTTCCTGCTCCAGCACAGATGAACTGCTGCTGAACTGCAATCATCAGAATCAGCTATGCTGAAGCTGAGAAACCTCTAAAACCTGCAGGACAGCGGCCCTCCAGGACCGACTTTGGAGATGCCCGTACTAGGTTTTAAAAGCCAACACAGCATGTTTCCATCCTTTGCAGACCAGGCGGTGCAAAGCAGAAGGTCGTCATACGTTTAGATTATATTTAGCTGTAATGAACAGGAAATAGAGGCAGTGAACGAGCACAGACCACAGATCAATAATAAAATGAGTTGTAATCCAGCTACTTGTCCTTATTTCATCACGTCAGCCAGGATTAGCGATGGTTCTTTCCACCCAGAGACACAGAAAAAGAAATGTGGTTCTAATGGGACGGCAGCAGCAGAAACAGTAGGTCATTGTGTTTGTTTTTAGTCTTCGGCCAAAATTAAATCTGCCGAAGAAGATTTAAGACATTCTGCCTATTAGATTAACCTGCATAAACTTCCTTGATTTTTTTCAGCTTTCATATTTTTTATATATTTTTTTTATATTTTTGTAATTCCTGATGAATATTATCAGATTAAAAGTAAATGTGTTAAATTTTCCAAACAGTGTTTAAAATGCTCCAAAAGACCTTTGAAAGGCTGCTGCAGTGCCTCTAAAGACAGGAGTTAATTGAAACGAAGCAATGCTTTGCATTTTTGACTTTTTCACAAATAGATTTCTTTACTTTATTTCTCCTGTTTCTATAAATATGTTTCCCCTACAGGTCAGTTCCAGGCCGGCCAGTTTCAGCCAGCTATTCGAGTGGCAGATCTCCTTCAGCACATCACGCAAATGAAATGTGGGCAGGGATACGGTTTTAAAGAAGAATATGAGGTAAAGACACACATATAAACATATCCTGTATTTAGTGAGGACCATTTGATGACTCCTATTGACTCCCATTGATTTTAAGACACATAATGATTGAATTTTATTGATCTCACAATGGAGAAATTTACCTCTGCATTTAAACCATCCCCTTGGGGAGCAGTGTGGGTTTAAGGGTCTTGCTCAGAGACCCAACATGGTAGTCTGTGGGAGTGGGGCTCGAATTGAGAACCTCAGGATTCCAAGCTCAATGCCCTAACCACTAGACTGCCACTTTGTATGCCCAAACCCTGATAATGATACTAAACCCAACCATTAGCAGTGTATACCTCACCCTATCCTAAACCCAAATTGATTTCACACCTTAGTCCTAAACCTAATGACCAGCAACATGTCCTCACTTTGGTACATACAGTTCTCAATATAATGGGGAAAAAGGAGAAGCCTCACTCTGATACCAAGACAGGAGTACGGGTCACAGGATTGCATGGGTACAGGTAACAGGGGTGCATTTATAAGGGGTACAGGTAACAGGGGTAACGGTAACAGGCATACAGGGGTGCTGGTGACAGGGGTAAAGGGAACAAGGATAAAGGTAACAGGAGTGCAGGTAACAGAGGTATGGTACCAAGAGTACATGTAACATGAGTACAGGTTACAGGGGTACAGGTAACAGGGTGCAGGTAACAGAGGTACGGTACCAAGAGTACATGTAACATGATAACAGGTTACAGGGGTACAGGTAACAGGGTGCAGGTAACAGAGGTACGGTACCAAGAGTACATGTAACATGATAACAGGTTGCAGGGGTACAGGTAACAGGGTGCAGGTAACCGAGGTACGGTAGCAAGAGTACAAGTAACAGGAGTACAGGAAACATGGGTACAGGTAACAGAGTGCAGGTAACAGAGGTACGGTACCAAGAGTACATGTAACATGATAACAGGTTACAGGGGTACAGGTAACAGGGTGCAGGTAACAGAGGTACGGTACCAAGAGTACATGTAACATGATAACAGGTTACAGGGAGGTAACAGGGTGCAGGTAACAAAGGTACGGTAACAAGAGTACAAGTAACAGGAGTACAGGAAACATGGGTACAGGTAACAGGGTGCAGGTAACAAAGGTACGGTAACAAGAGTACAAGTAACAGGAGTACAGGAAACATGGGTACAGGTAACAGGGTGCAGGTAAGAGAGGTACGGTACCAAGAGTACAAGTAACAGGACTACAGGTAACAGGGTGCAGGTAACATGAGTACAGGTACCTGAGGTACCGGTATCAGGAGTACAGGTAACAGGGGTGCAGTTAAAAGGGGTGCTGGGGACAGGTGTACAGGTAACAGGTGTACAGGTAACAGGGGTTCAGGTAACAGGTGTACAGGTAACAGGGGTTCAGGTAACAGGGGTGTAGGTAACATGAGTACAGGTAACAGGACTACAGGGTTGCAGGTAACAGGGGTGCAGGTAACAGGGGTACAGGTAACAGGGGTAATGGTAACAGGCTTACAGAGGTGCTGGGGACAGGTGTACAGGTAACAGGGGTTCACGTAACGGGGTGCAGGTAGCATGAGTACAGGTAACAGGGCTACAGGGTGCAGGTAATAGGGATACATGTAACAGGAGTAGAGGTAACGGGTACATGTAACAGGCTTACAAGTTACAGGGTTTTAGGTTCAATTAGTTATTTCAGGGTAAAATTAGAAGCTAACGTTTGCATCAGGAGCTCGGTATGATGAATTATTTAAAACCAAACTGTAGGATTAATCTTTTCTCTTCTCGTCTTTGTTTCCTTCTCATCCTTTAGTTACCTCCAGAGTAATTGTTTTAATTCAGCATTTATCATGAATGTGTTTTTAAATCATCTTTTCCTCATTTACTTTTCTTGTCTGCTGCTTTAATATTCACTGTGCTGTTCCTGCTCCTCCTTTAACTTCTTTACTGATATATTCCTTCGTCTCTGAGGACAAATGTTAGAAAAGGCTCAAGGAAGAGTCTGTTTTTCGTCTCCTTCAGCCGCCCATTCTCAGAAGAATGAATATTTTCTATTACTGACTCTGCATGGTTGTTGAAAATTGTCCCTCCGTGATACTGCGACTTATATTTTCATTTGCTTCCTGTCATTTTGGTTCAAACCCACTGATACGTTTCAGGGGAGAGAAAATGTGATTTATTCTTGAGTGTGTGCGGATCTGTGTGTAGCATATTCACACACCTTTATTTAGCCTCCACTTGTCTCCTGCTGCAGCTGAATTGATCCACATTAACAGACTTTGGGAGTTTTTCTGTGTGATATTTAGTCCAACATATTCTCTGCTCCATTTGCTGGAAAAACAATTTCAAGTTTATTTCTTCATCGCTAAAACTTCTGTGACAAATCAGCATCCACCACGACTACCGCGCTAAACAGCTTTTATTAAATCGGTTTCAATGAACAAGCACAGCGGCGTGGATCTCCAGGGTTCCTCATGCAATATAAAAAAGGATTGATAAAAGGCAGAGGTTTTTTAAATGTGAACTTTTTCCGCTCTGCAGGTGTAGTTTATATTTCTAAGGCACAGAACTTAAATGTCTCAAACTGCTTTAGATTTGACAATTGATTTGGGCACCATTAAATCAACGTAGAATTTAACATGTTTCACCTGCAGCCATACCTGGTAAGAGCTGACCGAGATACTGGATTAGAAATCCTCTGACAATATTAGAAAAACTAAAAGTAAAATTTTATTTATATAGCACTTAGACAAACTTTATTGTCATTTAGTATACACAGAGTGTATATGAAACTTAATTTTAAAACAGCTTCCCGACTGTGAATGGGCAGCAATAGCACCTATCTAGATATAAATGAATCATATAAGATACATAAACAAAGGAAAAATGCAACTATACAATATTTTAGAAAAGGATCCATTATTAAGGAATTAAACTTTGTAAACATTTTAACCAAAAAATAAGTTTTTTGTGTAACTTTGCTGCTGGTATTAGATCTTTTACTATCAAATCAAATTTCATATTTTATCCTTATTTTGTTATCCTTTATTTTGTTTTTATTAGTATTATTTTTAAAAGAGTTATTCAAATTGATAATTTTTCACATATTGATTTTGTTGTTTGTTTTTCACAGATTTTGTACTTTTATTTGAAAATTTCCATTTGATTAGATTTTTACCAATTGTATTGTTTTCAAACTGTGTTTTTTTAAGATCACATTTTCTTCACTTCTGGGGGCGGGGTTTCCTCTGGAGGGAGGAGTGAAGATGCATTTCTATTGGTCGGCATCTTCGTTAGCAACGTTTTTTTATTGGTCAACGAGCATCAAAAGTAACCATTTGCATTTGCCTTAAAATGAATGCAACTCGTAAAACTCAATCTACTGTAAAAAAAATAAAATAAAAAATGAAATATACAAAAAAGATAAATTTAAACATTTTACTAGTTTAATAAAATTTGAAAATATAAAATCTGTAAAAAAAAAATAGTTTCAAAAAATCTAATTTAAGACAAATATATTGAAACAAAATAAAACAAAAAATTACTTTAAATAAAACCTGAAAAAAATTGTCTTTGCTCTCACTGATGTGAAGTAGCATTAAAGTGAAGTTAAAATGACACAAATTCAAGATCCAGTCAGAAGTCTAGCAGCAGCATTTTGCACAAACTTAAACTGGTCTGGGGAGGTTTAAGTTTATATCCATTCATTTTCTGTCACGTTTATCCCTACTGGGGTCACGAGGGGTGCCTACACTCACATCTAAGGAGAATTTAGAGAAGCAAATTAACCTAACAGTCATGTTTTTGGATTGTGGGAGGAAGCCAGAGTACCCGGAGAGAACCCATGGATGCTCAAGGAGAACACACAAGCTCCATGCAGAAAGACCACAGGCCAGAAAATGAACCCAGAACCTTCGTGCTGCAAGGCAACAGTGCTACCCACTGCACCACTGAGCAGCCTAAAGTTTAAGTTTAACATGTTTAAACTTTCTTAAAAAATCAGAACAAGATTTTTTTTTAAAAGCCCGGATTAAGGATCTAGTTCTGGATGAGAGACAACAGGGGTAGATACAGCAATAATTTGTAAATGATGGAAAAAGGAATGAAACAGAGATATTCCATGATTTAACAGAGTAAAACCTTAGTCTAAGGTTATCCCAAGGTTTCTAACCAAGGATTTTGCAGATAACTAAAACGCTCAAGGATCTTCGGTTCATTTCTTCTTTTTTTTTGTCGTGATGAGTCCTTCAGTTCTATCCTCATTTAGTCCAAAAAAAAACAAAAAAAACCTCTCAGACATCAAGTTTTAATTGAACCCTGAGAGCTTAGTTCAGGGTAAACCAGATTTAAAGCCACGGATACAATCAGTTTAAACATGATAGTTGACAGTAATGGTCCAAGAGTGAGTAAGTAGCAAAGAAACAGCAATGGCTCCTGGACAGAGCCCTGAAGAACGCCAAATCAAACAGGACAAGAAAGATCTGCAAGTAAACAGAGCCAGAAAAGGTTGATCTATCAGACAAAGACAAGGAAAATCATTTCAAAACCAAACTTCTCAAACTATCAGGAACACAAAGATGGTCAGATTAAAGGGCTGGCTATACCTCCGCAGCAGTTTGTCACAGTTAGCTTGTCGCAGGTATGATGCAGATATTTTTGATTTATGCTGAATTTGTAGCGTGTTCTGCGTTATGTTATTCCATGCCACAACTCAAGAGGGACAATCACCAACTAGCTAGGATTGGGGGTGTCCATGTGTCGGTTTGATGAGCTTGTTCGGCGTCTACAACCCCTCATCCAACACCGGATGACACACAGTTCACCCGTGACACACTGTTCCCCAAAGACTGGCCGTGGCGCTGCTTGTGTTTTGGCTTTGGGTGCAAACCAACAGACCATCGCACAGAGCTACAAACTAGCATCCTGTACGGTGTCTGGGATAGTGTCCGAGGTTTGCCAGGCGTTGTGGACGGCACTACAGCCATAGTTTCTGCCATTAGGTACCAAAGAGTA